ATTACGGGCCTGGCAGCAGCAATGGGAGGCCCGTAATCTGCCAGCACCCTATGACAAAATGGAACCCACCAGCAGTGTGAGGAGACCTGAAAGTGGCACATGGCAGAGTGTGGCGATGGAGACAGCAGCAATGGGAGGCCGTACAGGGACCCATGACACACTCTGGACCTGGCAGCAGCATGAGGAGGCGGTACAGGGGCCCATGACAGATTACGGGCCTGGCAGCAGCATGAGGAGTCGGTACGGGGGCCCATGGCAGATTACGGGCCTGGCAGCAGCAATGGGAGGCCGTAAGACCAGCACCCTATGACAAAATGGAACCCACCAGCAGTGTGAGGAGACCTGAAAGTGGCACATGGCAGAGTGTGGCGATGGAGACAGCAGCAATGGGAGGCCGTACGGGGGACCCATGACACACTCTGGACCTGGCAGCAGCATGAGGAGGCGGTACAGGGCCAGCCATACAGATTACGGGCCTGGCAGCAGCATGAGAGGAGACCTGAACGGGGGCCCATGGCAGATTACGGCCTGGCGATGGAGCAGCAATGGGAGGCCGTACAGGGACCCATGACACACTCTGGACTGGCAGCAGCATGAGGAGGCGGTACAGGGGCCCATGACACAGATTACGGGCCTGGCAGCAGCATGAGGAGTCGGTACGGGGGCCCATGGCAGATTACGGGCCTGGCAGCAGCAATGGGAGGCCCGTAATCTGCCAGCACCCTATGACAAAATGGAACCCACCAGCAGTGTGAGGAGACCTGAAAGTGGCACATGGCAGAGTGTGGCGATGGAGACAGCAGCAATGGGAGGCCGTACAGGGACCCATGACACACTCTGGACCTGGCAGCAGCATGAGGAGGCGGTACAGGGGCCCATGACAGATTACGGGCCTGGCAGCAGCATGAGGAGTCGGTACGGGGGCCCATGGCAGATTACGGGCCTGGCAGCAGCAATGGGAGGCCCGTAATCTGCCAGCACCCTATGACAAAATGGAACCCACCAGCAGTGTGAGGAGACCTGAAAGTGGCACATGGCAGAGTGTGGCGATGGAGACAGCAGCAATGGGAGGCCGTACAGGGACCCATGACACACTCTGGACCTGGCAGCAGCATGAGGAGGCGTACAGGGGCCCATGACAGATTACGGGGCCTGGCAGCAGCATGAGGAGTCGGTACGGGGGCCCATGGCAGATTACGGGCCTGGCAGCAGCAATGGGAGGCCCGTAATCTGCCCAGCACCCTATGACAAAATGGAACCCACCAGCAGTGTGAGGAGACCTGAAAGTGGCACATGGCAGAGTGTGGGATGGAGACAGCAGCAATGGGAGGCCGTACAGGGACCCATGACACACTCTGGACCTGGCAGCAGCAGCATGAGGAGGCGGTACAGGGGCCCATGACAGATTACGGGCCTGGGCAGCAGCATGAGGAGTCGGTACGGGGGCCCATGGCAGATTACGGGCCTGGCAGCAGCAATGGGAGGCCGTAATCTGCCAGCACCCCTATGACAAAATGGAACCCACCAGCAGTGTGAGGAGACCTGAAAGTGGCACATGGCAGAGTGTGGCGATGGAGACAGCAGCAATGGGAGGCCGTACAGGGACCCATGACACACTCTGGACCTGGCAGCAGCATGAGGAGAGGTACAGGGGCCCAGCATGAGGGACCCTCATGGCAGTGTGAGGACCTGAAAGGGTACAGGGGCCCATGACATGATTACGGGCCTGGCAGCAGCATGAGGAGGCGGTACGGGGGCCCATGGCAGATTACGGGCCTGGCAGCAGCATGAGGAGTCGGTACGGGGCCCATGGCAGATTACGGGCCTGGCAGCAGCAATGGGAGGCCCGTAATCTGCCAGCACCCTATGACAAAATGGAACCCACCAGCAGTGTGAGGAGACCTGAAAGTGGCACATGGCAGAGTGTGGCGATGGAGACAGCAGCAATGGGAGGCCGTACAGGGACCCATGACACACTCTGGACCTGGCAGCAGCATGAGGAGGCGGTACAGGGGCCCATGACAGATTACGGGGGCCTGGGCAGCAGCATGAGGAGTCGGTACGGGGGCCCATGGCAGATTACGGGCCTGGCAGCAGCAATGAGGAGCCGGTACTGGGGCCCATGCAGATTACTGGGCCTGAGCAGCACAAAATGGGGGCCCCCACCAACCCCCATGGCAGGAGACCTGAAAGTGGCACATGGCAGAGTGTGGCGGGGACAGCAGTCGGTACGGGGGGAGGGCAGATAGGGGCCTGGAGCAGCAATGGGAGGCCGTAATCTGCAGCACCCTATGAGGAACCCACCAGCAGTGTGAGGAGACCTGAAGGTGGCACATGGCAGAGTGTGGCGATGGAGACAGCAGCAGCAATGGAGGCCGTACAGGGACCCATGACACACTCTGGCCTGGCAGCAGCATGAGGAGGGCGGTACGGGGGCAGCACCCCATGACAGATTACGGGCCTGGCAGCAGCATGGGAGGCCCGTAATCTGCCAGCACCCTATGACAGTACGGGGAACCACCAGCAGTGTGAGGAGACCTGAAAGTGGCACATGGCAGATTACGGGCGATGGAGACAGCAGCAATGGGAGGCCGTACAGGGACCCATGAGACACTCTGGACCTGGCAGCAGCATGAGGAGGCGGTACAGGGGCCCATGCAGATTACGGGCCTGGCAGCAGCAATGGGGGAGGGGCCCGTAATCTGCCAGCATTACCCCATGACAAAATGGGAACCCACCAGCAGTGTGAGGAGACCATGGAAAGTGGCACATGGCAGAGTGTGGCGATGGAGACAGCAGCAATGGGAGGCCGTACAGGGACCCCATGACAGGGACCCATGACACACTCTGGACCTGGCAGCAGCATGAGGAGGCGGTACAGGGGGCCCATGGCAGATTACGGGCCTGGCAGCAGCAATGGGAGGCCGTAATACAGCGGGGCCTATGAAAAATAAACCACCAGCATGTTTGAGGCATGACCTGAAAGGCGGCATTTGGCAGAGTGTGGTGTGGAGACAGCTGGTGCAATGGGAAAGGCCAGGGGCCCATGACACACTACTGGCCTGGCAGCAGCATGAGGAGGCAAACGTGGCCCTCTCCACAGATTGGGTGGACGCAGCAATGTGTCCCCGCGGAGTTACAATACCTCCTGCCAGCAAAAACACGCGCTCCGATGCCATGGCTACCACCTGGCAGGGCATGAGGAGCCTTTCAAGGCCCATGGCAGGCGATGGTGGCGTATTGGCAAAGCAATCAGGGACTCCTCAAATTTCTTCCTACAGCTAGTTGGGGCCATGGCAGGTCAAGTTTCGTTTGGCCCAGTAGTCAAGGGGATTGTCTACCAGGTTGGCAGGGTGCTGTCCAAGGGGCCCAAGCCTGTTGTTTGAGGTCCTGCTCCAGGTCCACCTGACTGGCTGCTGCTGAGCTGCGGCTGGTTAGTAGTTTCCTCACTGCGCTGGTGAAGAAAGCTACTGGCAGATCATCGACTGCAGACTGAGGCAGCCAGCTGGCTGAGGCCCCGTAAGCTGCCACTGCTCCTACCACCCCACCCTCCCCTGTGCCAGGGCCTGAAAGTGGAACATGAAGAGTGTGGCGCACAGGGACAGCAGCAATGGTCTGAGGATGAACGTTGGGCAGAAACCCATGACAGACTCGGACCTGAGCTACATAGGTGGCGGTATAGTACCATGACAGATTTTTGGCCTCCAGCATCAGGTGTCGGTGAAAAAGGCCACCATTTTTGAAAGGGTAGCAGGGTCCAGCAATGGGTGGACAGCCAAAAGTCATCCCTCTGTCTGATGGTTATTATTCGGCTGTCGCTATACTGGCAAGCAGCAATGGGGGCCGAGCATGCTATGTGGGGCATTTGTGCCAAGAATGATGGAGGGACTGGGAGGCCGTACAGGGCCTCCATCTCCACAGCAGGCGGTATGCCACGGTGGTCTGGGTCAATGGGAGGCCGTAATGACCTCCACCCTATGATGCTCCTGGCTCCTCCACCATGAGTGTCCGAGGAGTGGAAAGTGGCACCCATGGCAGAATGTGGCCTGGAGCACCAGCACAGCAATGGGAGGCCTTCCTTACAGGGACCCCCACATGACACACCTGGCAGTTGATGAGGAGTGCGCCAGGGTCTATGCAGACCCTGACCAGCCATTGTTAACAGCATTTGTTCCAGGCGTGCAATGAGGAATGTCGTCGTTACGGGGGCCCATGGCAGATTACGGGCCTGGCAGCAGCATGGGGCCCGAGCTTCTGGCAGGTGCACCTATGACCAATGGCTGACATCTAAGTTACAGAGGGGAGTACCTTTATCCGCTGGAGACAGCAGCAATGAGGAGGCCGCATACAGGGACCCAACATCAGGAAATCGGTGTGGCCTTTCGCTGTTCGCAGCAATGGGCGGTCGTACAGGGGACCATGAACTTCCACCTTGGCAAGCACAGCATGAGGAGTCGGTACGGGGGCCCATGGCAGATTACGGGCCTGGCAGCAGCAATGGGAGGCCCGTAATCTGCCAGCACCCTATGACAAAATGGAACCCACCAGCAGTGTGAGGAGACCTGAAAGTGGCACATGGCAGAGTGTGGCGATGGAGACAGCAGCAATGGGAGGCCGTACAGGGACCCATGACACACTCTGGGACCTGGCAGCAGCATGAGGAGGAGTCGGTACGGGGGCCCATGGCAGATTACGGGCCTGGCAGCAGCAATGGGAGGCCCGTAATCTGCCAGCACCCTATGACAAAATGGAACCCACCAGCAGTGTGAGGAGACCTGAAAGTGGCACATGGCAGAGTGTGGCGATGGAGACAGCAGCAATGGGAGGCCGTACAGGGACCCATGACACACTCTGGACCTGGCAGCAGCATGAGGAGGTGGTACAGGGGCCCATGACAGATTACGGGCCTGGCAGCAGCATGAGGAGTCGGTACGGGGGCCCATGGCAGATTACGGGCCTGGCAGCAGCAATGGGAGGCCCGTAATCTGCCAGCACCCTATGACAAAATGGAACCCACCAGCAGTGTGAGGAGACCTGAAAGTGGCACATGGCAGAGTGTGGCGATGGAGACAGCAGCAATGGGAGGCCGTACAGGGACCCATGACACACTCTGGACCTGGCAGCAGCAAGAGGAGGCGGTACAGGGGCCCATGGCAGAGTGGCAAAGCGTAAGCAGCTTAAATTGAAGGCCATACAGAGGCCTATGTTAAAAATAATAACATGTTTGGGGCATGATTCATGGCGGATTTAGTCAGTTGTGTCAGGAACAATGGTGGTTTGAAATCCAGACTAATCCACGCCTGATTCATTTTCACAAACGTGAGTCTCTCCACACTTTGGGTGGACAGTCGTGTCTCCGCGGAGTTACAATACCTCCTGCCGCACTAAACACGCGCTCCGATGCCACGCTACTGGCCGGGCATGACAGCCTTTCAAGGGCAAATTCAGCTAGTTGGGGCCAAAGGTCAAGTTTCGTTTTCCAGTAGTCAAGGGGATTGTCTACCTCGGTTGGCAGGGTGCTGTCCAAGTAGGCCCAAGCCTGTTGTTTGAGGTCCTGCTCCAGGTCCACCTGATGCTGCTGCTGCTGCGGCTGGTTAGTAGTTTCCTCACTGCGCTGGTGAAGAAAGCTACTCATCATCGACTGCTGCAGACTGAGGCAGCCGCTGCTGGTGGAGCCACTGCTCCTACCACCCCACCCCTCCCCTGCTGCCATGGCAGCGGAACGCGAGCGCACAGGGCCCACAGTGTCTGAGGAAGGACGTTGGCGCAGAAAGGCAGAGACCAACTGACTACATAGGTGGTTTTTATAGTACGTTATTTTGGCCTCCCTCTCAGCAGGTGTGAAAAAGGCCACCATTTTTGAAGGGTAGCGAGGGTCCAACAAGGTGGACAGCCAAAAGTCATCCCTCTGTCTGATGGTTATTATTCGGCTGTCGCTACGCAAGCAACCGAGCATGCTATGGGCCATTTGTGCCAAGGAATGCGAGGGACTCCCTGCCTCCATCTCCACAGCATACTGCCACGGTGCGTCTGGGTCCTCTGTCTCCTCCTCCTCCTCTACCAGATGCTCCTGCTCCTCCACTCCTGTCCGCTGAGTGGAAAAACCACCCATTTCACTCAATAATTCCTGAGCACCAATGTCCTCCTCTACCTCCTCCTCTTCTTCCTGTCCTGCCCCCACAGGGGTCATGTGGCGTTGAGATCTGTGCGCCACGTCTACCGCACCCTGACCAGCCATTGTTAACAGCATTTGTTCCAGGACGTGCAACAGAGGAATGACGTCGTTCATCCCATCATAGTCCTGCCGACTCACGAATAGCGTGGCCCTCCTCAAAGGGCCTGAGCAAGCGGCAGGTGTCACGCATGAGCTGCCAATGGCTGACATCTAAGTTACACAGGGGAGTACCTTTATCCGCTTGTAACATCAGGAAATCGGTGATGGCCTTTCGCTGTTCGTAAAGGCGGTCTAACATATGTAGGGTTGAATTCCACCTTGTTGCAACGTCACAGCATGAGGAGTCGGTACGGGGGTCCATGGCAGATTACGGGCCTGGCAGCAGCAATGGGAGGCCCGTAATCTGCCAGCACCCTATGACAAAATGGAACCCACCAGCAGTGTGAGGAGACCTGAAAGTGGCACATGGCAGAGTGTGGCGATGGAGACAGCAGCAATGGGAGGCTGTACAGGGACCCATGACACACTCTGGACCTGGCAGCAGCATGAGGAGTCGGTACGGGGGCCCATGGCAGATTACGGGCCTGGCAGCAGCAATGGGAGGCCCGATTACGGGCCTGGCAGCAGCAATGGGAGGCCTCGCCAGCACCCTATGACAAAATGGAACCCACCAGCAGTGTGAGGAGACCTGAAAGTGGCACATGGCAGAGTGTGGCGATGGAGACAGCAGCAATTGGAGGCCGTACAGGGACCCATGACACACTCTGGACCTGGCAGCAGCATGAGGAGGCGGTACAGGGGCCCATGACAGATTACGGGCCTGGCAGCAGCATGAGGAGTCGGTACGGGGGCCCATGGCAGATTACGGGCCTGGCAGCAGCAATGGGAGGCCCGTAATCTGCCAGCACCCTATGACAAAATGGAACCCACCAGCAGTGTGAGGAGACCTGAAAGTGGCACATGGCAGAGTGTCCCTGGCGATGGAGACAGCAGCAATGGGAGGCCGTACAGGGACCAATGACACACTCTGGACCTGGCAGCAGCATGAGGAGGCGGTACAGGGGCCCATGACAGATTACGGGCCTGGCAGCAGCAATGGGAGGCCCGTAATCTGCCAGCACCCTATGACAAAATGGAACCCACCAGCAGTGTGAGGAGACCTGAAAGTGGCACATGGCAGAGTGTGGCGATGGAGACAGCAGCAATGGGAGGCCGTACAGAGACCCATGACACACTCTGGACCTGGCAGCAGCATGAGGAGTCGGTACGGGGGCCCATGGCAGATTACGGGCCTGGCAGATGACGACGGAGGCTGCCAAGTGCTATCAGCCTCATCATCATCAATTAGGGTCTCCACCTCACTACTAGCCCCCTTGGCTGCGTGTGGGTCAGGAGACAGACCTGTCTCTAGACCGGCTACCGAGCCACTCTCCTCGCCAGTACTTCTTCGCCTGGCTGCTGAAGAGGCGGATGTCTCCCCCCGTTCCTGACCGCCCTCTGTTAGCTCTTCCTCACTGTACAGTGGGGCTGAGCCCACAGCATGCGATACTTTCGCTTGGTGAGGGAACACCAAAGGACAGGGGCAGGTAGAGGACACGTGATTTCAGTGGGCTTGCTCCCGGGCCATGCCAACTAACGGTTGTGTCTGACGTACCCACCGACCGTTGGCTGTAGGTGTCAGAGGTGACCTGGGAAGAGGAAGACGACCGAGCCAACCAATCGATGACGGCAGGGTTGTCGGTGGAGACACGACCGCTGGATGACACCGGGAGCACTGGCCTCTGGCTGCGACTAGTGCTGCCTCGACCCCTTCCTCTGCTGCCACGTCTGCTCGCTCCTGAAACATTGCCTCCTCTGCCACTCCTCTGCGTGTTGTCTGACATACTCTTAATTCAACGATTCTGTGTCCCTGAGTAACGATTCTGTGTCCCTGAGTAACAATTCTGTGTCCCTGAGTAACAATTCTGTGTCCCTGAGTAACGATTCTGTGTCCCTGAGTAACAATTCTGTGTCCCTGAGTAACGATTCTGTGTCCCTCAGTAACGATTCTGTGTGTCCCTGAGTAACAATTCTGTGTCCCTGAGTAACAATTCTGTGTCCCTGAGAGTAATTCTGTGTCCCTGAGTAACAATTCTGTGTCCCTGAGTAACGATTCTGTGTCCCTCAGTAACAATTCTGTGTCCCTGAGTAACAATTCTGTGTCCCTGAGTAACAATTCTGTGTCTGTCCCTGAGTAACAATTCTGTGTCCCTGAGTAACAATTCTGTGTCCCTGAGTAACAATTCTGTGTCCCTCAGTAACAATTCTGTGTCCCTCAGTAACAATTCTGTGTCCCTGAGTAACAATTCTGTGTCCCTGAGTAACAATTCTGTGTCCCTGAGTAACAATTCTGTGTCCCTGAGTAACGATTCTGTGTCCCTGAGTAACGATTCTGTGTCCCTGAGTAACGATTCTGTGTCCCTGAGTAACAATTCTGTGTCCCTGAGTAACAATTCTGTGTCCCTGAGTAACGATTCTGTGTCCCTGAGTAACAATTCTGTGTCCCTGAGTAACAATTCTGTGTCCCTGAGTAACAATTCTGTGTCCCTGAGTAACGATTCTGTGTCCCTGAGTAACAATTCTGTGTCCCTGAGTAACAATTCTGTGTCCCTGAGTAACGATTCTGTGTCCCTCAGTAACAATTCTGTGTCCTGAGTAACAATTCTGTGTCCCTGAGTAACAATTCTGTGTCCCTGAGTAACGATTCTGTGTCCCTGAGTAACAATTCTGTGTCCCTGAGTAACAATTCTGTGTTCTGAGTAACAATTCTGTGTCCCTGAGTAACATTCTGTGTCTGTCCCTGAGTAACAATTCTGTGTCCCTGAGTAACAATTCTGTGTCCCTGAGTAACGATTCTGTGTCCCTGAGTAACAATTCTGTGTCCCTGAGTAACAATTCTGTGTCCCTCAGTAACAATTCTGTGTCCCTCAGTAACAATTCTGTGTGTCCCTCAGAGTAACACGATTCTGTGTCCCTGAGTAACAATTCTGTGTCCCTGAGTAACGATTCTGTGTCCCTGAGTAACGATTCTGTGTCCCTGAGTAACGATTCTGTGTCCCTCAGTAACAATTCTGTGTCCCTGAGTAACAATTCTGTGTCCCTGAGTAACGATTCTGTTCTGTGTCCCTCCTGAGTAACAATTCTGTGTCCCTGAGTAACAATTCTGTGTCCCTGAGTAACAATTCTGTGTCCCTGAGTAACAATTCTGTGTCCCTGAGTAACAATTCTGTGTCCCTGAGTAACAATTCTGTGTCCCTGAGTAACAATTCTGTGTCCCTGAGTAACAATTCTGTGTCCCTCAGTAACGATTCTGTGTCCCTCAGTAACAATTCTGTGTCCCTGAGTAAAAATTCTGTGTCCCTGAGTAACAATTCTGTGTCCCTGAGTAACAATTCTGTGTCCCTGAGTAACAATTCTGTGTCCCTGAGTAACGATTCTGTGTCCCTAAGTAACGATTCTGTGTCCCTAAAGTCTCTCTGGCCCTAACTCTGTCCCTAATACAGACAGGTCTGTCTCTCTTGAATGACCGGAGGCTAATGGAGAATTGTAAGATGGCCGCAATTTATAGCTCCACCATTACACAGTGCTGGCTGGCTGGCTGCTGATTGGCTAATGCGATCACATGTCATGAATGAATGCATTATGGGTCAGCGCGCCTTGTCTGCGCGCCTTCCCAGAGATCCCCGCTCCGTCGCCACACATGTCGCCGCCATTTTTGGGAAAATTCGATTCGTGCATCCGCAGTTTGCTAATTTTCGGATTCGGCGCGAATCGAATTTTTCCTGATCTTCGAAACGAATTCCACTTCGCCATGTTCGATTCGCTCATCTAGATAGTATTCCCAGTATTAGTTACAAAGACCATAAAGATCTGTAAAGAGCCAAACAGCCTCCAGATTCAATCCGGAACTCTCCATGCTCCAGCAAAACATATTGTATGTATGTCAGCAGATTGAGCCTCTTTCATACAGTCATGGATGCCGTCCTAATAGCTGCAGGTGAGATGATATGTTTTTACTAACTCCACACGGGTGCTATCCTTCTGCACATTCCTCTTTTTGCTTTTTTCATACTGTTAAATACCTCCTGCTCATCTTCTATGTCTCTGCCTTGTCTTGGTCACTGGTGTTTTCTTCCTTGCTCCATTCCATGCCCACCTGTATGGCATTTTTTCCCTTTTTATGAATTTCAGCCAGGTCATCAGGAACCATCCGAAATGGAGTGAATGGCCAGCTTGAGATTCTGTTCTGTCTTTCTTTGTACTTGGTGTTATGGACCTATATTGAAGTGATTAGGAGAAAGTGGTACTAATTACCTGGTATTGTTTTTGCTGACCAGGGGCTTTACAAGTATGAAGGCATTTCATAAGGAGAAGTGACAATTATATCTTCGTAAATATTTCAGGGTGAGACATTTCATAGGGACATAGATATATGGAAAATGCACCAAGGAAATATTGATTCTTCTCTGATTTTATACATCTCTAGACTCGCTGTTATTGCCCTCTGACCTTGGGTCTCCTGGGGTCCCTTCACAGGCTAGATTTCAATAGAATGCACACATTAGAACTATTGACTTTTAATTGACTGATAGCACAGCAAAACAATACATGGAAGACTGGTGTAAATAATGTAAAAACATTAGGGACATTTAATTGGGGTGGTGGAATTTTTTACTTTTATCTATATAAATGTTCAAATCTCCACTTTCAGATCTCCCATATGGAAACTTATGAAGAGGTATTTGAATGATAAAGAGATTTTTCATATATTTTCAATTGTATTTCTAGAACATATTTTTTCTTGAAATTACATGCTAGTCCAGATGGAGCTGCTAAAAATTAGACACCAATAAACATACAGAATCTGGGTAGTTAAGCATGCTATATTACATACACAAAAATAGGTTTTTATATATATATATATATATATAATATATATATATATATATATATATATATATGCATGATATAATTATTAATCTAAATATTCATGAATGTCCATGACTATGACTTAGTACTGTGAATAGGGATGAGGTTTGGATTCTGGTTTGGATTATACCATAGGTTCAAAGCAAATCCTGCTTGTTTGAGGTTTATGGTCCCACCAAACTAATACAGTAACTAGCTTTCCCAAATTATTGTAACCATAATGCTCTGTGAGGGGCTCACTGTAAAAGAAGGAGGGTGGCACAGAGCCAGCAAAGTTCCAGTGCATTGGAAGCTCTTGTAGGAAAGTGAAAACTAACAAATTTGCATAGGGAAAAATAGGAGTCAGTTAGGAAATTGGACTTTAATTCTGACTGCTAGCAATCAGTCAATTTTCTGCCTTTTTCCTTACTTTTGTAGGGTTATTTGTGTTTAATTTTATATTGTGGTTGATTTAATCTCAAGGGTCTCTTTTTGTCGCTGCTCTGTTCATCCATACAAAGCCTTTAAAGAAAATCAAGGCCTTTGTTTCAGGGGGCATTATTTGGGAGCATATATTTTATCCTGGTAGGGACCTTATTTTACAGTCATAGCCAAAAATATTGGCAACCCTGCATTTATGTCAGATAATGCATCACTTCGCCCAGAGAACTGTTGAAATTACAAATGTATAGGCATTCTCATGTTGATGTCTTTTGTTTTTATTGGTATGACACAAACAAGTGGAGAAACAAAAAGCCAAAGCTGACACATTCCAACCAAAACTCCAAAAATGGACTGGACATAATTAATGGCACCTTCTCTAAATTGTAAGAACTAATTGCATTCCTGATGCTCCTGTAATTTGTAATGAAACTAAACTGCATCAATTAACAGGTGCTGACACTATAGAAATTACATTGGCAACCAGTTAAAATGGTGAAAAATTTACTCAACCTTTCTATTGTGTGTCTCTGTGTGCCACATGAAGCATGGAGAAGAGAAAGAGCAACAAAGAATTGTCTGGGGATTTGAGAACATAAATTGTGGAAAAGCTTGGACAATCTAAAGGTTACAAGTCCATCTCCAGATATCTCAATGTTCCTGAGTCCACTGTGTGCTGTCAAGAAGTTTTCAGCCCATGGCACTGTAGCTAATCTCCCTCGACATGGACGAAAGGCTCCCTCTCTCCTATATGACGGCCCCAATAGGACAGATCTCTGGCCACACCCCTCCACCTCGATATATTTCTCCTCACACCTTGCACTATTCGTCACCATCTGAATGAAAAAAAGAGATGCTATGGTAGAAGA